TTTAAGCTTGTGTTCCTGCATAATATTTCTAATGCATAAGTAGCATAATAGTTCTCTTGGCGGTAAGGAGTATTCTCTAAGTAATTTAGGGAACTGCTTTATGGCATTACTGTTATAGAGGGAGCGTAGGTGTGTGACGCCTTATGTTATCCTAGTGTCTATCTGTAGGTCTGTCATAGGGCAGTTATGGCCTGAAGTGGGGCTGCATAAAAAAGGTCATTCTCATCCATAAGTTTTGGGGTAGTCTGTAGTCCTCCCTGATTCGACTGCGCCCGTCCATAGGGCTTGCAACAGCGTGCCTCGGGGCATACAAGTGTTTTCTAATGCCAGCCACATGGGAGGAGAGGACCGTTCAAGTGCTGAGAGGCCCTGTGCAAGTAGTGAGGCTTTATAGTAGATTTTAACATTGGGTATGCCCAGGCCACCCTTCTTAAAAGGGAGCCACAGTAGTTTTTGTGTTATTCGAGGGGGTTTTCTTTTCCAGATGTGTGCATTAATAAGTGCTTGAAATTTTCGTAGTATGGTGTTTGGCAGGTCAATTGGCAGGGTTCGAAAGAGGTATAGTATATGTGGCAGGATCATCATTTTTATAGTGTTCATGCGGCCTAACCATGACGTACTCTTGTCGTCCCACGTTTTAAGTTGTTGGTCTAGTTTGTATGTGAGTGGTAGGTGATTTTCTTTTAAAATTAGATTTTGTGATGAAGGAAGTTTAATACCGAGGTAGGTTATTGATGACTTGCGCCAATCCAAAGGGTAGGTGGATTGTAGTAGTTGTACTGTGGGTGCGGGGAGTCTTATTGCCAGTGCTTGGGACTTTTTAGAGTTATTTTTGTAGTATGACATCCGACCATATATATTTAACAGATTTACTAGGTGTGGGATTGATGAACGTGGGTTTGTTAAGAAATGCAGGACGTCATCTGCAAAAAGGGCTATTTTCGCCTCATCAGATGGGGTGTTTAATCCCTGAAACTCATTCTGGCTTTTGATATGTCTCACCAGGAGTTCCATACATAGGATGAAAATTAACAGGGATAGAGGACAGCCCTGTCTGGTTCCATTGGTTAAGTGGAATGATGAACGTGATAGGAAACCTGAGTTGAATATTTTGGCTGCGGGTCGGGAGTATAGGGCTAAAATGCTATTTAGAAATGCCAGAGGGAACCCATCTTTGCCAAAACTTCTTTCATGTACACCCAGTTCAAGCGATCAAACACTTTTTCAGTGTCCAGGGCTAGTAGCAAGCCCTGCTGTTTACTTTGGTGTGCCCATGTGATTAAATTTAAAAAATGGCGGGTGTTGTCTCCGGGTTGTCTAGAGGGAACGAATCCCGCTTGCTCTTGTGAGTCCAGATCCAGCAGCATGGGTTTTAGGTGCGTGGCTAAGAGTTTGGCGTAAAGTTTTGTATCCGCATTTAGTAGCGAAATGGGTCTTAGATTATATGAGCCAGTAACATCTCCTCTGGCATGTTCCCCACGTTTTTAAAGTGGTTAAAAAGTTTTGTAAGGTGTGGTGTGAGTTGTGCTTCGAAGGTTATGTAATAATAATTAGAGAACCCATCTGGGCCCGGAGCTTTATGCTTAGGGAGTTTACGGATCACATTTCGGACCTCGTCTTCAGAGAATTGTGCAGTTAGGGTTAGGCACTGTTGTGGAGTCAGTCGCAGCAAGTCTAATTCTCTCAGGAAAGTAACTATTTCGTCCCTAGTAGGTTGATGTGTGTTGTTGTCAAGTTTTAGGTTATACAGCTCGTTGTAAAAGGATGCCAACTCATCGACTATGTTCTGTGGGTTATATAGTTTGGTGTTGTTGGCCCCTGTCATATAGGGTAGTTTGGATTGTAGGTATCGGGATTTCAGTTGTCTAGCTAGCAGTCTGTATGCTCTATTTCCCTGCTTATAGTGGGACAATTTTAGTTTCCATAGTTGTCTTTCCATTTTGATCCTAGATATCTGTCTAGTTAGTTTTTTTGAGGGGTTTAATTTGTTTCTAGCTTCTGTTGTGTTGAGGTCGGCTAGTAGTTGTTTTTTGTCCTCGTTCACCTTTTTTTGCGGACTGATTCCGCTTGGATGATAAGTCCCGTCATTACAGCCTTAAGGGCTAGCCATTGTGTCTCTATGCGTGAGAAACCCTTTGAGTGATCGTTGTAGTATGACTGGATTGCTGTGCGCCATGTTGTCACTAGACTGCCCTCGCTTAATAAAGATGCATTAAGACGCCAAATACTCCTGCCCCTTGCTGGGTACAGGGCTCTAAAGGTGATGATAACCGGTGCATGGTCAGACCATGTCCTAATACCAATAGACACGTCGGTTATATTTGATATGGTCGATTTCTCCACTAGGCACATGTCTATGCGTGAGTAGGTGCAATGAACTGGCACAAAAAATGTGTAGTACTTGTCGGAGGATAGAATCTACACCATATGTCATAGAGGTCGTGTGTGTGGAGGAGTGTGGAGAACTTGTGGCTGAGAAGGGTGGCATGGTGAAGCGGTCGTTTCCCTCTGGTCCTTTTAATGTCCAAGTTAGGGTCCAGTGTACAGTTAAAATCCCCACATACTATGGTGTGTCCCTTAAGTAAATGGACAATCTTATTTAAAGATCTAGTTAGAAAAGAAGTCTGGGAATTGTTGGGAGCATATACCGAAGTGACTGTGAGTTGTATCCCATTCATTGTGCCCACCACGATCAGCAGTCTGCCCATTTCATCCCTGTAGATTGTATCTTATTGAAATACCCAGTCCATATGAAACAGTATGGATACTCCTTTTGATTAATTCAGGGAGAGGGCATGGAAGATTTGGGGATATTTGATCGGTTTGAAGGCGGGATTGCTCTTGCAAAGATGGGTTTCCTGTAAGCATATGATAGCTGCCTTCGAGTCGTGTATCTCCTGTATTGCTGATCGTCTCTTAAATGGGCTGTTTAGCCAGTTAATGTTTAGCGAGAAGCATTTAAATTGGTGAATCATAGTGGTAATAGAGTGTCAGTGTTATGTAAATCATTATGGGGCAAATATGAGGGTCTGAGGTGACCCCTTCGGCTATGTTTGGTGCACTAGTTTTCTTGGGCCCTCTGAAGATGATGGTTGAGCATTTGTTGGTACATAGATCTTCTGTTACCTGGGGCAAAGAGGTGTGGGTAACTTGGGGAAACCTGGTAGAAACCAAAGAAAGCATATACAGAAACTTTCGGAGTGGAGAGTGTACCATGGAATGCAACGGAGAGCTCTTACTCTCAGCCTCCATTGAGCATACCATAGGGTGGTTGTGCGGAGAGAGCTATGCTCCTGAGCCAATGCCTATGCTATTATCGTAAAGTTTTTTTTTCTCCTTTTTTATCTATAACACACAGTAGTGGGTTGTCAGTGGGGTGGGGAGTTGGGGGGGATGGCAACCTCTGAGGTTTACATACGGTGACAGGAGATTAAGCGATGGCACCATTGGCCGTTAGAATGTTGACTAAATTAATTTCTCTTGCAAGATCCCTTAGATGTCATGTTGTTTCTTGTAGCTCTGTCTTACGATCATTATTAACCAGCTGAGGCTAAGAGCATTAGGTCCTGGGGACACGTTATACTACGCCTTAGGTTGAGTTTCACGCACTCCTTCTGGGTTGCTGTGTAGCTGCCTTTAGACTAGTCATCCAAAGGTGTATTCAAATCCATTCCCTGTGCTCTCCTGCATAATTATGGCCATTCTGCAGTGACTTTTAAAATGTTACGTGACCACTTCCTGGATGTTAGGGACTTCCTATATCTGATAGGTTATCAATAACCAAGAACCCTGTGTCCTGTGATGACCCCAGCCAAATAAACACAGTAATATATACTAATTATATACTGAAGTGTCAGCTGAGTGAAAGAGGAGAAAGGTTTACGGAATTTAAGACCCTCCTGTGGCCCGTGTTGGTTTACTTTTTTTTTTTTATCCTTTATTTTGCCCCAAAAGCAAAATCAGGTCTAAATGGACATAATAATACAACAGTGTCTTGACAGGTAATAACACAGTTCAGATATGCATGTTCATGTATGTGAGTTAGGGCTGCTCATTTTGTCTAGCACATAGGTTAACATAACTCATTTTAAGTTAGGCATTAACAGTGAACGATGCTTCAAGAAAAACTGTACGTGCCCCCAGGATAGACTGTCCATTACAGTGTGGTCATGGAGTTAATTCCCAATGTGGGGGAGGCTGTGAGTGTATGTGGAATGATCAGCACTGATCAGTGTTGTTCAGTCTAGGTATGTGTGTCGAGCAAGGTTAGCGAGTCCGTGTAGGGTATGTCCGTGTTTTACTTGGGAGAGTCCGGTGGGCTCTCCACGCCGTATCAGCCTGGACAATGCTCTATGTCAGTTAAGTTAAGTTAGGGCGTATGCACCGCCCGGTCGGTTCATGTGTTCCTTTGGTTAGAGGTTGGGACCGTTGTTATGGCAGATAGTCTTCTGGTTGAGTATGTCCACTATAAGCGGTGGTATACCCCCCACCAGGCCGACAAGGGAGAGCCCCTCCTGTGTTATAATGCTCTCTGGGTTCGTCCTCTGTTGATATGCTAAAGTCAGCGGGTATGGTAATGGGACATGTGCTGTGCCCTTCCCCTCTACTCTCCCCTGTCCGCTTCCCTGCAGTGATACAGTTCCTCGTAGTAACCCATTAATAAACAGTACGAAGCATGCAGCGTAAATGCTAACAGGTCTAGTGTAAGAGAAAAAAAAAATTATCCTTGTCTTCAGTTATCATGCAAGTCTCATGCCCTACTAGCCCTCCGTTCTCTCTTATAGCCTGGTATACTCTCAAGCGTAACAAAGGTGTAATTTTTTTTTTTTAAATTATAAAAATATTTAAAAAGTAAAAGGGTCAAAACTGGAAGCAAATTGCCATTAAACTTTGTGGGCATTATAAGACCAGCTGTGAGTTAAAGTGAGTTACGTGTCTTGGTGAGTCCCGTTGGGTGTTAGCGGTGTGAGTGGTACTCATGCTCCGTCCGCCGCACCAGGCTATGGTGGGTTCAGCAGTCTCGTCTTCTTATGTGATGCTCCCTTGTCGGTGGTTCTTTTTCTCGTCGGGTTGGCCCCATCAGTTACTGGGTTCCTATCTGCCGGCCGTGGTAAGTGGAGTGCCTTCAGGAATTCTTTTGGATCTTCTTGAGCTAATAGGGTTAAGACAGAGTCCCCTTGTTGCACTACTAGAGTGCCCGATGCTCCCCATCTATATCGGATCCCTTTTTCACGGAGCTCCCTTGTCACTGGCATGAACCTCTGTCTCTCTAGAAGGATGTTGAAGGGTAGGTCGTCATATATTCGGATGGAGCAGCCGTCCACCATGATGGTAGGGGTGCTCCGTCGGGGCAGTAGGGGCCTTGCGTACCTGGAACGCAGATGTGATGAGCAGAGCTTCCGCTGAGGATTTCACCCCCACTACCACTGCCACTTCATTGGTAAAGTCCAGTATGGCCTCTGGGCCCACTCTTTCCGGTGCCCCGCGGATCCTTATATTCAATTTGCGGTGCCTTCCCTCCAGGGATGTGACCGCTCTGGTGAGCCCCTGGAGCTGCTGGGACATAGTCTCCAATCAGGCCTTCGTTTTCGTTTTCGTAAGTTCTTGCACTCTTTTCCCTTCCCTTACTTCAGCCACGCTGATCCATGTGGTGAGGTCGTCTACCTCGTTGCACACTCTGGCTCGGTCAGCCTTCCATACCTCCCGCAAGTCTATGAGTAGTTTTTTGATGTCCCCTTTGGTGGAGGATGAGGTGTCAGAATCGAAGTCTTCACTCCCGTACACCTTGCTCATGGCTCTCGGTATTGCAATGTTGTCCTCCTCCAGGGACTCCTCCGAGTAGCTGGAGTCTCTAGGCCTCACGGGGGCCATCTTGGGCTGTGCGGGTTGCTGCGGCCTATCAAAGGACGTGCGTATGTCTGGCTGCTTTGAGCTCCCCGACTGGGTCAATTTGCGGCTCCTGCGTCCCATCTCTCTCTGGAGGGGGTTCTGAAGTACCCCTATATATGTTTTGGGTCAATTAAGTGGAGTGCCTTCAGGAATTCTGTTGGATCTTCTTGTGCTGATAGGGTTAAGACAGAGTCCACTTGTTGCACTACTAGAGTGCCCGATGCTCCCCATCTATATCGTATCCCTTTTTCACGGAGCTCCCTTGTCACTGGCACATAAGTATATGTTTTGGGTCAATTAAGTATTGCTTCGTGTCGATTTTAGTCTTATTTTCTGCGTGGTTTGCAGGAGCTCTGCATCTGCACGTCTTGTTCTTTGCTCAGCTAGCCATGCCCTCATGTTGGTTTACTTTTAATGCCATTGTGAGCCGGCTATGGGACTCTCTGTCTTCATCTAGCTCAGCTATACTGGCCCTTGAGCCTAAGGGTAACATTCTGTCAGCCGTATCACTATATACATTTGTTATATATGGGTGCATTATTACAACTATAACCGCATATCTCATACATTATTTATACTTGTGCATTTTACCAATCTTGCCATCTGCAGTCTTTCATTTTTGCAGTGTCTTGTACACCCAGGGTGCTGCACTTGTGTTCTTTCAGGTTAGTGGCTTGCTGGGCAGAGGAGATCTATGTATTGTCCATAAGAAGATTGTGCGTTGACCAGGGCAGGATTGGCTAGTGACTAGTTTGGGCGTCGGTGTGTGGATATCCAGAATATGCACGCCGTTCGGGGGTTGCCGTTCCCAATGTGTGGCCCGCCATCATCCACTCTGGACAGATCTTCTGTGGAGAGGCTCTCGGTGCCACTGTGGCAGGTTTAGGTTCTTGGGCGTTCCATAAGCCCCATTCCTTAAAGGTGTTGAGCCGTCAGGGTCGGATATGGTGTTGAGCTTGCCATTCCGCCATATTAAGAGTTTTGTGGGAAATCCCCAATGGTACGCCATTTTATTATTTAGCAGAGTTTTCGTGATGGTGGAGAATTCTCTCCTTTTAGCCATAGTTAGGACCGATAGGTCTGCATATATAGATATCTCTTTATACGGTGCCGGGAGCATCGGGCTAGCTCTAGCAGCCTTGAGGAGTGCCTCTTTCAATGTAAAATGATGAAAGCGGACTATCACGTTACGTGGCGTGTCTGCTGTGAAGCGAGGTGGCCGTGGTAGTTGGTGGACCCTGTCTAGCTCCCACGCAGCGCCAATGAACGATGGTACCAAAGTGGAACACATGGACACAATGTATGATTGAATCTGTTGTCTTCCTCCAGTTTGTGGAGTTTATCAGACACCTCATTGTGGGCAGTGCACAATTTATGCTGCTGCCCATCCCATGTGTTCCCTATTAAGGGATAATAAGCATGTATTATATCCTGTACATTGTCTACTGTTTTTAATTTGTGGAGAACTTCCGTATTGTCTTTTACATAAGATTTTATTTGTATAAGATAAGGTCTAGTTACTTGATCTACGAATTTCGCCAAAGGAGACAATAGTGAACCAATACCCGCAACAATGGGTCTCCCAGGTGGATTTATTAAAGATTTATCGACCTTTGGATATATATACAATACAGGTACTACAGGTGAGTCCACAGTAAGGTATTTAAATAGTTGTTTGTCAATAATGTTATTATCTGAAGCTTCCTTCAATATAGATATCAATATATATCAACTTGACCTTTTTTGTATGTGTCACTGTCATTCAACTGTTGGTTTATTTCTTTAATGTTATCAATCCTATCCAACACCACTATAGCATCACCCTTATCCGCTGGTTTAATAACCAAATCCTGGTTTTGTTGAAGTGTTTTTAAAGTCTTTATTTGAGCTCTTGTTAAAGGGACACTATAGTCACCAGAACAACTACAGCTTATTGGATTTGTTCTGGTGAGTAGAATCATTACCTTCAGGCATTTTGCTGTAAACACTGCCTATTTAGAGAAAATGCAGTGTTTACATTACAGCCTAGTGATAACTTCACTGGCCACTCCTTAGATGGCTGTTAGAGGTCCTTCCTGGGTCATGGCTGCCTAAAATGTATCCAAACATTCAGTGTCTCCTTCCTCTGAAGGCAGACACTGAACTTTCCTCATAGAGATTCATTGATTCAATTCATCTCTATGAGGAGATGCTGATTGGCCAGGGCTGTGTTTGAATTGTGCTGGCTCTCCCCCTGATCTGCCTCTTTGTCAGTCTCAGCCAATCCTATGGGGATGCATTGTGATTGGATCAGGCCACCACTTCTGATGATGTCAGCAGACAGCTTGTTTTTCTGGGGCAAACAGCATGCAGAGTTACAGCTGCAAACTTGAATACAAGTACATTTTACTATTTTTAGCGAGGCATGAGGGGGCCAGGGGGACTAGATGGTGGTTTTAACCTTATAGGGCCAGGAATACATGTGTGTGTTCCTGACCCTATAGTGCTCCTTTAAGTTATTGGGTTTTGTATATTTATTTCTTATTTGTTTGTGCTGGACAAGACTATTTACATATTTTTTAACCAAATCAATAAAAGGTTTAAACAGCACGATCAGTGATAGAAGGGTTGAAAGAGCTTTTCTTTTTCAATTTTGTATCCCCCAATCTCAACATTGCATTACATGGTATACTCATATTAGTTAGAAACACAGGTTTACTAAAAATTACCTTAAGTCTACCAGACTGAAAAAAAGTGATAGATAGACATTGGCATATACTGTCAGATTGCCATCCAGAAATAACTGAATTTTAAAATATACCTATGCTCGTTCACAAACAAGCTCCATCTATACGGGATAAGTAGGTTAAAGTTGAGCTACCAATATCCCCTAAAATAAGCTCAAATACAAAAAGGCAATTTTCCATGCTACAATTTTCCATGCTACAATTGTGTGTACTGCAACTCAGAGGATCTATTTTCTATCATCCCCAGAAGGGTAAGAAGTACTTCATTAAATAATATATCACATGTAATACCACATTTGTGGTTTATATTTTAAAATGTCCATGTGGATTATTATATGTGGGCCAAACAACTCAGCCAATGAAAGAAAGGTTCTCAAAACATAAATCAACAATTAGAACAAGTATGTTAGAACTACCAATGCCTTTACCTTTCTCAGAGGCACACCACACCATAGCTCAGCTAAAATTTCAGATCATTGAACATGTTGGAGAAAAATATAGACATGGAGACAGACAGAAAAGGCTGTTATTTAGATAAGCTTATTGGATTAAGGAATTTGACACTTTGGCCCAAAAGGACTCAATCATGAATATGACCTCAATCCGTTAATTTAGACTAATTCTTATTTGGTTTTAACCTATGTAATTTTAACTATTTCTCTGTTTCTTTCTCAGTTTATCTTCAATCTGTGGTGTTGGTGCTGGTGATTTTTCTATTAGATGGACATCAATTCTGGGCATTCCAGGTCTTTATATCCCCTATACTCTAGCAAATCTAGTATGAAGTTTGATACATTTCCTTAGTCTCTGACACACGTATGTATGAATTCCCATGATATAGTCTTGATTTTACAGTAAGCACATTATGCACTTTATTACCATTCCTATAATAGGTTTTCACACCTAGTATTCTTAACTAACTGGTTAGATTCAGTTATAATGAATTTACATAATACATTTATTTGTTTTATGTATTTAATTTTCTGTTTGCAGTGGCACTTTATATTTGAAATCTATGTTTATGAGATTTTTTTTTTTTACATATACGCACTTTCATGATACTGTAACTGTGTATGATATAATCACATTGCTATTTGGCTATGTTAACACTGTATGATGCTCTATACACATTGAGAGATAGTTAGCTGTATGTGCCTTATGGCCTTTGATAATTATCATATCTCTATTGTATACATATATACATACATATTTTTTATATATATTTTTTAATATATTTTCAATGTATTTTTCATGCACTTTCTAATATGAATTCAGAATTTATTGTGTTGTATTCAGAGACTATAGAAGATTATTGCTGATGAATTACTGTAATATATCACTGTGAGGATATTAATTCTAGCCCTGTTCAATTTGTTAAATTAACTTAATTTTTTTAACTTCTTGATTAATTTTATGTTGTTGGAGAATAACTCTATGTAGCTCAATAGTGGTGCTCATTGTGGAGGCTGTTGGTTGCCATAAACTCTTTCATTCTCCAGTTAGTATGCAGTTGGCATTTAAAACATACCCAATATACAGTTGGTTTCTAAAATATACCAAATTTCGACAGTTGTTGGACTTTAATTATTTGCTCCCGTGCACACATGCTCAATGATCCGCCGCCCTGGTTATACATTGTATCGCCAGCTCTGATATATTTCTGGGCGTATTCGTATGTTTATGTGTTGCCGTTGCTATTCGGATGTGTGCCC